CCGCCCTGTACCCCCCCCGCGCAGCCGCCGGCTCTGCGGCGTGAAGCAGCCCACCACCTCGCCAGGCGGCGCCCCCGCCAGGTCCCTGCGGCCCCTGCCCTCCAGCCGCTGCAGGGCCGAGGGCGGCATCTCGTCGTACAGGCGGTAGGACAAGTTCCTCAGCACGCACACGGCGTTCTCCACACTCTGCAGAGGACGCGGGAGGGGTCAGAGCGGGCCGCAGCCCCTGGGCCCCCTCGGCGCTGGCAGCCCCTCACCTTGTCCTCGCACTTGCCCACTTCCAGGGCATGGTTGATGTAGGTGACCAGGGTGTCCACCAGCCCGTGGCACTCGCGCATCTTCTGGCGAGTGGCCTGAGAGGCTGAGCTGAGGTTCCTGGGGATGGAGGCAGATCAGAGCCCTCCCCAGGACCTGGGGCAGAGACCGCCTCACAGAAGTCTGGGGACAGCCCCCGGGGATCCTAGGCAGAGACCCTGTCATGGGGACTCCAGGCAGAGTGCCCCCCCCAAAGACATGGCCAGAACCCTTCAGGGACCCCAGATAGAGGCTCCCTGACAGGGCCCCCACACAGAGACCCAGGGACACGCGGTCTCAAGTCCTTGTCCTCGGCTGAGACTCCTGAGCACGGATCCCGGATCCCTTCCCCACGCAGACTAGGCCAGCCCCTGCACACTCGCCCCCTAGTCTGCTCTTGCAGCTGGGGGAGTTGGGAATGTCAGATGGAGTCCCTGGTTTAAGGAAGCCCCGGCCTGCAGCCCCCAGTCTGCTGACGCTGATTACAGCCCCACCTGGTGGCCACACCTGGCCTGCCTAGCCCCCGTGCTTGCCTGGCACCCACTTCTCAGATGGAAGCTGCTTCCTGGCCTCCCCATCTCCTCCTCTTGTCCCTGGCACCTGGCGCCCTGGGCACCTGGCTCCCTCCCCATGGACTCACCCACTGCGCCCCACCCCCGCACCTGAGGAAGCCTGTGGCGTTGTAGAAGATCTCGGCCTCAGAGGCGGTCTGCTGGATGAGCGGGGGGCCGCCGGACCCCGACAGGGGGCTCAGCACCAGGTCCGTGAGCTGCTCCAGTGTGTCCCGTGCCAGACGGTCCTTCAGGTGATCGCTGGACGACAGGTTCCACAGGATCCCTGTGCGGGCCATGCCTGAGTCAGGGCCGGCCCAGCTGCCCCCACTGTCCTGGGGCCGCCAGGTGTCTTGTGCCCCACCTAAAGCCCTACTGGGGAGACCCCAAGTGTGGCCTTTGGGGTTATAGGGATGGGGCCACGCAGAGGATGACACTGGTGGGACAAGAGCCTGGGGTGGGGGTGGCACCACAAGGCCACAAGGGAGCTGCTGGGCGAGATGAGGCAGGACAGGGAGAGGGCCAAGAGGGCAGAGAGCCGGTCGGCCCCTGGCCAGCCATTAAGGCGGCTGTGTCACCTGGCTGACCATGCGCCAGGCACATGTGTGTGCCCAAGATTCCGAAAGGAGAGTGAAGGGGAAGGGATTGTGGCCCCGTGGGGGTGCGTCTCACTCTTTCTCTCTCTTCCCCCCAAGTCATCTGGAAAACTTTTTTGAAAAATGAAAGGACAGACAGGACCAGCAGTTAGCATAATGGCTATGTCACTGGACTCCTATGTAGTCGACCGCAGTTTGAGTTCCAGACCCAGTGGCTTAAACTCATGCTGGGAACCTGTGCGTGCGTGCCCAAGATCCTGAGAGGAGAATGGAGGAGAAGGGATTGCGG